GGGGAAATGATAATTTTTCTGACTTTGTCCGCTGGTTGCTGTAGGTGCCTGGTGGCCTCGGGAGTGTTTGGAAAGCCCGTATAATGACCACAGATGGTCATAGCCCATAGACCTGCCCCAACTCTGCCTTAGCTTTGCTAGCCTTCTTGCCAAGTTCTTGAACAGGCCAAGGACACTTCGCTGTGGGGCCTTTGCATCGCTGTTTCCTCTGCCTGGAACTTCCTTCACCCAGGTATCTGCATGGCTTCCTCCTTCCCCTCAGTCATGTCTTTCCTCAAATGAGTCCTCAGTTTTGCACCAACTCCCAAGGGATCTTTAGCTCCTTCTCAGTTACATGTTTTTTCATAATGCTCATCATTTTACATATATATATATATACACACACACACACACACACACACACACATATATACATGTATAAAATTTATTTTATTTTATTTCTAATTCAGTTGCATCCTCCCTCATTTCTCCCACAAAGTAGAAGGGCAGGGATATTTCACTCCTATATCTTTAATGTCTAGATCCTGTGCCTTGCACGTTATAGGTGTTTCATAAATTTAAGGAATGCATTTTAAAGAGCAAATTACAAATTTGCCTAAGAAGAGGTAATAGCCAATAAATAACATTTATTAATGGAAAATTACTGCCTTAAATTTTTTGAATCCTTTATATCTGTACTTTCAGATATTATCATTCTCCTCACCTCGCTACTTACTGAGATGTAACTTCCAGAGATTAGATGCAAAATAGAAATAAAAGGAGTAGTCTGTTTTATATTAAAGGACCATAAATAGCACTGACAAAAAATAATTTATAAAGCAGCAATTAAATCAAATGGCCTGATCCCTGGTAACCAGCGACACACACCGTGGTAATTTTTGATTCCTCTTCTTGCTTAGACCCCGGACATGGGTTGTATATGAAAGACAGCTAAAATGCCTACTGTTGTTGGAATAGCAAGAAGGCAATCAGGGGGAATGGATACGGTGTCACATCTCTTAGTATTGTCTGATTGGCTGTGACAGCCTCAGACGAGAGAGATAAAAAAGACCCATATATTCCTAAACAGTTCTTAACTCAGGTACAGAAGGTGGAGTGTACTCCCATCAGAAGAAGGATTTGTTCAGAAGGCCCAGTGCAATGAGTGTAGTTATAGAAACAGGGCCATTTCTGCTCTGCAAACTGCCAGGGCCCTCCCTGCATTGGCTGATGTCTCATTGATGAGCAGCAGCCAGGAATGAAATGGAAACTTAAAGAGATTTGATATCATCAAAACATGGCATATAAATGTGCTGCCAATACTTCTTCCTGGGCTTTATTACCAATAACAACAGCTTGTTAAAAATAAAGTCCCCTCCATTCTGCAGGCACACCGCTTCCTTCATCCGCCAAGCGATGTTACAGGCACTCCTCTCTCACCAAACCTTGAACGTCTTTTCACCTGCTTTGTCATTCTTGTGTTCTGGCAGTGGCGTAGTGACTGTAGATTTGGGTTGTGTGCTGTGACAGAGTCAGTCCTTGTTTTTCGACACATTGTTTCCGTGAGGCCTGGGTCCTAAGGCAGGTTGCCATAAAATTAAATATGACCGATTAGATACTGTTGCTATTATTGATTCAGCTTTCATAAGAAATTGTGACGTGAGCACAGAAAGGCTCTGAAAACTGATGACTAGTGTATTGGAGCTCAGGCAAGTGAGCAAATGAGGGAGAGTTTGCAAAGCAGCAAAAAGTGAATGCTGTTAATTTTTGATCGAATGTCTCCATGAGGAAAAAGTGGTCGGGGGGATGATTACACGTTTTGTAATGTGGATGGAGCAAGTCTTGAACAAGTAAGCAAGTCTTTTTTATATATATAAACTGATTTTATTTTGATCTTTTAATTTCTGACAGGGAATGCTCATCTTTTAGGACTGAGCTGTTTAGCATGTAATAGGTGCTCAGTAATTGCTTTTTGAGTAGAAATAATAAAATTCTTCATAACCTTTACGGATTTCTTAGAAGACCACTATCAAAATTTTCTCATGCTTAGAAAGTTGTATGTTTTCATTGTTTTGTCTTTAATGAATACAATCAAAATTCCTATGCAATTATGAGAACTATTCACAAGTAGGATATAATTTGAAATCTTAATGTACATCTATAAATCTCATTTTTAAAATTATAATTGTTTCTATTCCTTGTCATGATTGCAAGAAAGCATGGTATTAAATATTTTTGTTAAATTGATTTGGATAGAAAAACTGATATCAGCCCAAATAAAAGTTCAGACAAATAAAGCTTAAACGGAATAGTAACTCTAGCTAATTTTTATGGCTAATTTATCATGTGCCATGTGCTGTGTTTTACAAACGTGAACTTATTTAAACCTCTTATAAACAGTTTGAGGTAGTTACTATGACTCTCTCTAGTTTACAGGTGAGGAAACTGGAGCTTAGAGAGGGTAAGTAAAGAGTCCAAAGTCAGACAACTGACCTTCAAATTCAGGCACCCTGGCTTCAGGGCAGTGTTTTTAACCACCATGCATCTTGCATAAAACAAAACAAACAGAAGTACAGTCAGTTACTTGGAGTGATTGTTAAAGTGTTAAGTCACACTATTTCAAAGATCCAGGTCATTTGTCCTAAAAATTACATTGTTGTTTAACAACAGTAATTAAATACTTAAGCTAACTTTGACGTCATTGAGGGAAAATGTGTACTAAAAATAGTCTTACATCATTTGAGAAATTAACTGATTCAGAGTTGTAAATTCAGGAAAAAAAGGCTATGAGAGATTATGTGCTCATGGTCATTTCTTTGCTGGGACATAAATGTTGCTACATGGAGGCCCTTTTTTCCCAGTTCATCTTCCTCATTTACCTCCAAGGCCGTCTTTGGCAAGCATCTCTTACCTAGACTATTACAGCAGCCTCCAGTTTGTTCGCCGTACTGTTGCCAAAGGTGTCTTCACAAACCAACCAATTTTTGAGTCAAAATGCATATGACTCTCCTCCTTATTAAGAACAATCTCATTGTTCTTAATTTTATTTTCAGTCATACACCCTACTGACAATCCAATGAAATAATATCATTGAAATAACATTTGTTATTTCATTGATATGTCAATATCAATGAAATAACCTTTGTGAGTAAGAAGAGCTTCATACACATTATGCATTATTCTCTGGCATAGCTTGTTAGGGATTTCAAATATCCATCACAAGCTTGCTTCCTCATCTTATATATTCTACCATTTATCCCATCATCTGCACTCTGGTTCTATTACATTTCTTACTGTTTCTCAGGTTGGAATATTCTCTAAGTGTTTTCTTCTGAACACATTCTTAACTATCTGGAATACTATGTTGGAATAGAGGAAGGCCTTATGATGTATGTGTCTGTCATAGGCAGCCCGTGATTCAAATCTCGTTCTACAAATTTGGGAATGGTACTTAGCTAATTAGAATCTCTATTTTATCACTTGCCAATGAAGGTAGTAACATTGCTTATTTTACAGAACTTTTATAAAGATCAAATGAGACAGTGAATGTGAAGTGCTTGGCACTCTGTAAATCCATGTTCCTACCTTCAATCCTGTATCTCTCCTCACCTTTTATTTCCCATCTCCCTCCCTTATGAGTGGGTTTCCTTTCCATGCCCCCACAGTGCCCAGGGTGATACCTCTAAATTTGCAGCGTGACTGGACTTTGTCTGTTTCTTGTCCATTTCTCCATCTAGACAAGTAGTAATTAACCCAGGCTGCATACTTAAGTAACCTGGGAAGATCTTTCAAAGGTGCCCCTCCTTGGTCCAGTTAAATCAGAGTCTCTGGCCTGGAATGAGGTCGTGGTTTATAAAGTTCCCAGGTGATTTTCATGGTGAAGCCTAGACTAGAGACTCTTTGAGAGACGGGATTCATCTGCGACCCCACTGCCATCACGGCGCCGGGCATGGAATGGAGGCTCAACGTGTGCCCGTGGGACGGCGGATGTGTGCCTGCGTGACGGCCAGCTATCCGCTCCTACTCAATATACATTTCATAAACTTTACCCTGTTTAATTATGAAAATGAAAGACTGAAATTTAACATATTTTTAGCGAATTTACATTGATACAATGGTAAGCAATACTTAAACAGATAAAGGCATACTTTAAATTTTCTCAAAGTGGTTGTTGCTTCAGGCAACTTTGTATCCACAAGTTTGTATAGTTAGTGGTTCTTTTTTTTTTTCATTCTTCAGGTCCTGAGTTCTTGTTGGTGAGATGGCTTTAACCTATAAATCTTTTAAAAGGTGCTTAACTGCCTAGAGCTGAAATTAGCAGTCTACTTGCCACTCGAAGGTTTCTCAGTGTTGAGCTACTATATATAATTCTCTCCCTATTAGTGTTTATTTTTTTGCCTTCCTCTTGGAGTGTGTATGCAGATTTATATTTAACCTTCCTGTGTTCTTTCTTTTTAGTGATCCATTAATAACAGTGTTTAGCTGTAAAAATATACACAGTACCTCGAGAAAGAATGAAGAAAGGGACTAATGGCATTAAAAGCAATAGCTCTAGCAATTTGCTGAAATTAACTTTTCCCCATAATGGCTGATAGTACTGTCTTTTCTGAATGCTAAATTGAAAGTGATATGTAATAAAGTGTGTCTGTTCATATAGTAAATAGTGTCAGATCACCATGACTAATAAAATCAGCTTTCTCATTTAAATGCAAAGGATTTATAAGTTTATTTTCAGTAAGATTTGGTTTCGGGATGGCCTCTAGACACTAAACTAAATGGTGAGTAAGGGAAGTAGATTCTTATCTTTTCTCGTAAAGAGAGTCATGACTTAATTACCTCAGTTCTGGCCTAGAAATTGAAATGTTATCAGCTCAATGAAAAAGAAGAAAGTACATTTCAAAAATGTCTATGTTGGGGGATCCACATGTAGGGAGAATGCACAAGTTAGATATTTTTATTGAAATAAAAATGGTGGATTCCGGGACTATATGTAATTTCTTTACAATATTATTTTCTCTTAGGTAATCAGCTCTGATGTGGGGTCAACTGTTTCCTTCTGGATGATAGACACTGGGCAAAAAGTCAAACAATTTACTGGTTGCCATGGGAATGCAGAAATCAGCACTATGGACCTTGATGCAAATGAGACGCGGCTTTTGACTGGCAGCACAGATGGAACTATTAAGGTGCGAACAGAGTGATGCTTTTCTATCTGGATGTGAGGGGGCTGGAATATTGTGAGAGGAGGCACAGTGTTGACAATATTTATTTTTACTTTCTTGGCCTTGCAAGAAGAGCGATGAGACAAGATAAGAAGAGCTAAATAACCCAAACCAGCTAATAACAAAGCTGTTAGGAAGATAAACCTCTGTGGAAAAATGAACCAATGGTTTTTCTGAGTAAATTATTTAACATAAAAACAAAACTTGTCTTCCTTATTTCAGAAAGATTTTTTCCAGTGCTCTGGATAAAAAAATACTTTGGAGAATGAGAGGCCTGAATAATTTTCATGCGCTCCAGCTAATGTCTCTAGTTTTCTTTTTCTCATTTTAAAAAATGAGAAATCAGGGCAAGTAAGTAAGCTTTTAAAAATGGTATAGATGTAAGTTTTTCAGAAAATTCATATTTTAAAATCATCCCATTTTGTAATTTCTATCGCTTTTATGTAAAGGTGAAATAGTGAAGAAAGAAGAACAAGCATAATCATATTATTATTCATCTTAAACTAAAATGATTTTAGGCTTTTTATTTTATAATGATGATTAATTTCTTCTGGGAAGAAGGTGTTATTTTACTTCGCAAAAAAAATGATCACATTTTCATGCAGCGCTAGATGCGATGTGAAACCACCCTCCTCAGTGAATCTTCCCGCTCCCTTCAGCTCTGAGAGCAATGGCAGTGCTTGACTGGAGATGCCTTGTGACACTTTGAGGCAACAAACGAATGCAGTTTTCTGAGTAATCTTTAAATGCTTTTTAAACTTCTGTCACACAGGGAGTCGTAAGGGCATTGAGTAGACATACCTTCCATGATAAGATCTATGATGCATCCAGGCAAGCTTCAGGGAAAGTAAGGGAAAGCTCTCTGGATATGTGGGTATAACACTGTGGAAGTTGGGGCCAAGCATGCAGTGGGTTCTGGGCCGGTAACTGTCAGTGGGAAGGAGGTGCTGTGGCATGTTACAGGGAGAGTCTGCAAATCAGCCAAACTTGGCCTCTGGGAAGGTTAATGGCTTAACGATGAACTGGAAGCTTGGGTTTAAGCAAAGGAATCTAGTTCATGGGAGGACTGACTGGTAAAATATGTGAAGGAAATGGAATAATTTCAATCCTAACAGTTAAGGTAGAATAGAACAGGAGTAACTAGAAGTGGAGTATTAAACAGTAGCTTAGGCAAAAGGAAAAAGCAAGTATCCTCCCCACGAGTCTTGGGGTACAAGACAGAACTGAAAAGTAAAGGTAGTGAACTAGGTTCCCTTTACCCCTATCTTGGACAGTAACCATCCAGGGTAGGGCAGACGTGTCGATGGTTGCTAAAACGGTCCCAGCTTAGGGACTTGATAGGATCTGGGGAGAGTCAGATCTTCACAAGACCTCTTTGTGGGTATTATGTTCGGTGGGCTGGGTTGTTAGCCATGTGCAGAGGAAAACTAAGTGACATGGGTGAGGAGATGTGCACCGCTTTATGTCTCAGCTGAGCCTTGACATCTCAGAAGTTAATGTGGATTTAGTAGTATAATCACAGCTTTGGAAGGTACATCTATCTTTATCACAATAGCACAACAGAATTCTGAAATGTGGCAGCCTCTGCATAGGACACATAAATACAGCAGCACTGGCTGTGTTCTATGAAGAAACAAGAATGAATGACATTTTCCAATCTCATTTATCATTTAGCACCTAAGGTCAATACCTATGTAATCAAAGATTTAAAAATATTGCTCTATTTATCAAGGGTTTGAAGTGCCTGTTTTTATATCAGTTACTGTTTTGAGTAATTAATGCATGCATATAATAAAATTTAAAATACAAAATAGATATAAAGTGAAGAGAAAAATCTCTTTCTCACTCCTTTTCCCAACTCCATCCTTGTGGCTGCCACTTCTGCAAGTGTCTTGTGCATGCTGCCAGCCTGTGAGCACTTGTTTCTCAACGGCAGCTCACTATCCACGCAGTTCTGCATTTCCTTGTCTTGGACATTGATTCATACAATAATCATAATCTTAACTAACATTTATTGCATGTTTACAATGAACCAGGCACTGTCCTAGCACTTACATATGTATATGCACAGACATACACACACACATCAGTATGGTTGGTGCCATTATTATCCCAGTTTTACAGATGAGAAAACTGAAGCCCAAGGAGATAAAGCAACTTGCTTAAGTTTCCATAGCAGGAGCTTAAACACATGGAGGTGACTCATTCAGCTACATTACATGCTACTATATAGATATTCCATATTTTGATGTTCAGTCTCTTATTAATGAACAACTGAGTTGATTCAAATCTTTAGCTTTTATAAATAATGTTTTAATTTTTAAAATTCCAAGCAATCCTGAAGAGTACAGTTCCTATGTCATAAATAAGAAAACGCAATTTTAGAGACACACTTAGAGTGAGAACTAGGATTTCAACAGACTCCAAAATGTGACTTTTAATGATTTTAATTTGCCTTCTCCTTAAAAACATGCACTAATTTATTAGCCTTTGAATCAAGTATGATTAGAATAGACTAACAGGATTACACATAGAGTAATTAATATAATGGCTAAATTTAAATGATGAGAGGATTTTCTTTAATTATTACATATCCTAAGTGAATCAACCCTGGTTCAGAATGGAAACAAAAAAATTTAGAATAATCTTACTACACCATGTTGTTTTACTCATTGAAGAAGACATTTTCTTTTCTTGTCTCAAAGGTAATTTTAATTTTCCTCTTGAAGGTATGGAACTTCAGCGGATATTGTCACCACACACTAAATATTGGGCAGGAGGGAGCTGTGGATATTTCACAGATCCTGGTTCTTAAGAAGACAATACTGGTTACAGGCTGGGACAGGTATGACATGCTTCATGCAAAACTAATGGAAAGGCAAAAGGAGAATGTTCTTTTGAATCAAAATCTAAAAGAAGAAATAACCTAGAAACCTTAACTGATTCTGAGTCATTAACTTCCTGGTGACCTCTGTGAGTGAAAATTTTTGGAATTGACTGAATGCTTAGTGACTACGATGTTTTAATATTGTGTAGCTTGAGCAGTTTGAGAATTGTTATAGGGCTTTCTCCTGGCTTTGGGAAGTTGCCTTTTTCTTTAACCATTCCAGGTAGGTGCATAATAACACTTCCTGAGTATTAACTCCAAAAATTTCCCACATTTTATAGGCAATACATTCTTAATGTGTGAATGACATTATCTCAGCCATAAAAGGAGCCCATTCCTTCTCTTGTTGCTTATTTTAAGTTGCAGCCCAAGAGGGAAATAGCCCCCTGAATTCTGTGTTAGTACCTCCTTCATCTTCGGGCAGGGAAGGGCCTTTAACAGCCCACTTACTGTTCTCAAGGAGCAGTTCTTCCATTTCATTACAATGAAAATTACTTTCCTTTTTCCTGAGAGAACTAACGGATCATAAACAGGGTCTTTTCTATGGCACTGTATAAGCACTAGGAAAATTAAAATGTTATGTTTTGAAAATACATTGTCCATAAATTCAATATTTCACAAAATATTGCTCTAGTAAGTAATTTTCCCAACACTATTCACTATGGAATTGTTATCTTAAGGGTTTGAAGCCGGGATTAAACAGATTTTACACCTAGAAAACTAGCAGTATGTATTTGGGGATTTTTATCAATCATAAGAAAGGCTTTTCTTCTAATGCAAATGTATATATCCAGACTAAAAAACCTGGTGCCACATGCAATTTAGTTTTCAGGGGAAGTTTAACTATAAGGAAAGAAATATAGTCCAGATTATTCTACTTGATACTAAGAACTAATTCAATCATCCTCACCTTTGAAAGACAAGGCTTCTTTTCATCCCTGGAAGCAAACCTGATCCATTAATGACTCATAACCACTCCAACAGACTATGGCCTAATGATCTCTATAATTAGACTATGGCAATGAATACATTTAATTTTCTAATATCATGGCAGAGTAGATGTGTGGTATATGGCTGATCCAATTTAAATTTTGAACATAACAAAAAATTTTAAATTAATCAGTGTAATTTAAAACTTTAGAGATACCTTTTTTTTTTTTTTTTTAGAAATATAGTTAAAATTAGCATCAAGTATAAGATCTCTTGATTGCTTACAGGTAAAATTTTTAAAAGATGAGATGTATAGAGTCATCTAAAAATGACTTAAAGGGACACCCTCTGTTCTGATCTATATTGGTGAGTGATTATATTCTATAATCTTAGGGAGGAAGTTTTGGGAAGACTGAAATGAGAGAAGAAAAAGTCGCTACTCCTCCCATTCTTCTTCTTTTCCATCTTCCACAAGGTTGTCAGGACTTAGTTGGAATTGAAAGTTAAGGAACACATTCTCAACTATTTTATTTCACTTTATATTGTTAGATTTAAAAATTATATTTTCTTATGTTAGAATGGATTTTGAAGGATCTTTAAAAGGACCTTTTTGCCAGGAGGCATTTAACAAAAAAAGCAAGAGGATAGGTCAGCTCTTTGTTATAGCTGGGGAAAGATGGTTCCTTAAGCCAACTCTCCAATAGTTTAGTGATTAGAGAAGAAATAATTAGAAGATTGACAGTCAGCTTACTAAGCTCTCCTTAAAAACTCAGAGAAAACTGTTAAGCTGAAGCTTTAACTTAAGGTTGTAGCTAAATAAAGAGATGTATTTGATAATTTTGCCCAGAATGGAATAAGGATTCCATTTATTGAGTTAGGTAGACAAACATGCCATCTCATTTATTTTATTCATAGAGCAATGTAGCACTCAACACTTTACACATATATATACATTATTTAATTTAATCTTTAGCCTCATCTTGGAAAGTATACAATATTTTATAGATATCTCAAATCTCTATCTTTAGCTCTTCTCTCTCTGAACTCACTTATCCATTTGCTTGCTGAACAAATTTGGCTGCAATTCCAAATTCAACTTATTCTAAAATGGATGTATCATGTATTCCTCTCTTCAAAACCTGCTTCTTCTCTTACATTCAGAGTCTCAATTAACAGCCAGAGACTTGGACATCGATCTTTGCTTTTCTTTCTCATTCAGCTTCACCACCAACTAGCCACTAAGCCTTATCTATTTTATATTTTAAATATTTCTCAAACCTGTTCTCATTACTACTCAGCTGTACAACTGAGAGTGGTGTTTGCACATATGTGAATGTTGCAGCCTTCTAATTTGTTCTTTCATAATGCCTCCCTTTTACCTCTTAAATAGATACTGCACATTTTAGTTATAATGATTTTTTCCTGCACTGCATTCTATCAGTGTCACTTCATTGTTTGACATCCGTCAGAGTGTCTACATAATAAATTGAAGTTCCCTCTGGTGTGGACCTCTTTTTAGTTTCAGTCTCCTGTACATTCTAAATTCAGGGATCAACCTCCTGTCAGGGTGTTCCCATACAAACCTCACTGTTTCACATCCCCTTGCCTTTATTTTCTCCTCTCCAAGCATTTTCTCAGGTGGCTAATGTTTATTCCTATTTCAAATCTCATTCAGATATTTTCCCACCAAGATCTCTCTCTTTAATCCCAGAATAGAAATATGTCTCCTTTTTTTTCTTTGTGCTCTCTAGCTTCTTGTACTTTATCCGATGTGGAAATATATACATCATTGAGCATCTAATATCTGTACTTATTAGATGCTCAATGATATTTGTTGAATGACTTAATTAATGTTCATTGACTAGACAGGGAATCTGAGGATGAGCAAGATTAATTGCCCACTAGTCACACTCTGAATGAGAGGCATGCAGAGTAAATATTCAAATCTGTTTTCTCCTCACAATAAATCAGGAAGCTAAGTATTATCAACCCTCTTTTACAAGAAAGGAAACAAAGCTTTACGAAGTTGGGTAGCCTGGCCAAGCTTACAGAGCTAATAGGCAACTGAGTTAGAATTCTATACCAAAGTCCATGCTCTTTACATCATTTCTGAGTTATAGATGAATTCATTAAATCATTGGAAAGGAACTATTTTCTTTTAACAGATGATTTGATTGAGTAGGGTAGTCATATCAAGCAAAGCTAATGAATCATTTCTTCTCATTTGAAGAAGCACATAAAAACATATTATCAACTTAACAACACCTTAAAGTTTTAGCTTATCATTATTTTTCCTCTTTCCTTTCCACAAATATTTTGAAATTGAACCTAGATGAAAAACATTGAGTTAGGAACTATAATGGACTTTATGTGAAGAAGCATGATTCATGCTCTCAATGGTATCACATTCTAATTGGTGATTCAACACATACAAGGCGAGATATGGTAAATGTCACTGTAAAATTGTCCTAAGGGCCCTGGCTGGTGTGGCTCAGTGGACTGAGTGCTGGCCTGTGAAGCAGAGGGTCATCAGTTCGATTCCCAGTCAGGGCACATGCCAGGGTTGTGGCCCAGGTTCCCAGCTGGAGATGTGTGAGAGGCATCCACACAATGATGTGTCTCTCCGTCTCTTTCTCCCTCCCTTCCCCCTTCTAGAAAAATAACTAACTAACTAAATAAATAAATAAAATCTTTAAAAAAATTGTCCTAAGGAACACCTGAATTAAAAAGCCCATGTGAACTATATTTAGAAATGCTATGATTCTTACGTATAGAATATTCCTGTCAGATAAAAGAAGCCCCAAACTCACAACTACTAGAAATGTGTATCTTATCATTTTAAGCAAAATATACTTTACAGACAAAGTTGTGAATTGACATAGGGTCAATTAAAATAGACCTAGTTAAATACCTGGTCATATTTATTTTGGTAAAATTAAATGAATGAATGATCAGTTATCTTTGCATTTGTTTAAAGTAGTCAAGTAATATGTATATTTTGGTAAAACCAAATGAATAATCATATTAGTTTGCTATTTCATTCTGCTTTAAAATTTTGATTCTATACTTAACAACTCCCATGAAAATAGAGTCAGACTTAATTTCCTCCACTTTATTTCTCTTTCTTTCTGTTACAGATGAAATCACTGTTTATGAAACTTTTATCTTTGTCTAGACATACACATCTAGACATACAAATACTATTAAAAAATCTTTAATATAATTTCAAATAATTTTGAAAATATTGATAGCAGCATCCTTCACAGAGCTTTGTAAAAAGTAGGTGTTCAATAAATAGCTGTTTATGTAATTTGATTTCTAAAAATATTTTTAAGTGAAATAAGATTAGGGATTTGAAGTTCTTCAACAATAAAACTTACCTATCACAAGGTATTAAATGCTTAATAACTACGTTAGTAAGAAACTATAATCCTATAAGACTTAACGGGTTTCTACTATTAGAATAAGAGTTAGTGTGGAAATTTCCAAAGTTGTGATTTATTCTCAATAACCATGTTAGAGGTCAGGAGGAGGCAGGTATGTTTGAAATTCACATATAACCCTTAAACATAATTTTATGATGGTTTTAGTGTTAAAATTTACCTCCACAAATTTCAAGGAAAAGGATAAAAATGAACTGGCATATGGTGAACTAGTTCTATGCCTTCAGGGTACCCTTTTTAAGCCCAGAAATCAGTAGATAGGTTTTTATGATAATTGGACTAACAATGCATGAACAAATAACCTCAAAGGAAACAAGTAGTTGATTGTGTTCTTTTGTTCTTTCCATGACAAATTCTACATGATAAATTTTAGTAAAAGTTATTTTCCTAGCTCATTCATCTTAAAAAAGTTATTTTTATAAAACATTCTTTCTTTTTTGTATTTTTCTGCACTTGACAGGAAAACTAATTTTGTTCTTACAGAATTGGTTATTATATCTAAATTCCGAATCACAGTTATGATCATCTTCAGAAGGTGACAAATGACTCAGTAACAGTGCTCTCAGGATTTCAAATGTGAGTTGTGAAGTAGAACAAGTCAAGTCCTTCAATGTCAGAAAGAGCAAATCTCAGGCTCCTAAAATGGCCCTGAAATTGGCTCATTCTGTACTTTAATTTTACTCTTGGTAAAAGTATAAACTTAAAAAAGTAAGAAATACAGTGTAGATTCTGAAGGTATTTTAAGGATAACTGTCATTTCAAATGGAAGTTTCTCCTTAGGTTTTAGGAAAAAGGTGGCAGCTAATTAGTTTCTTGAGATTTGGACACACAAGGTCAAATATCAGAAGTGCTACTTTTTGCACCATTTTATGAAAAGCATTTCATGCCTTTGGGTGGTACTCCCTAAATATATCCAGTTAATATGGGTATCTTGGTGAAAGACATTTGACATTGAATTTTATCTGAGAGATAACAGAAGAGACAGAGGATTGGCCTCTTCCCTCTGACTCTCACCTCAGGCTCTCCATTCCCAAGGGGTAATCTCTTTAATCAAACTTGCCAATAGGTAAAGAAAAAATAAAATATACATATACATATAAAGCTATAATGATATTAATTACAATTTCAGAACTGCAGATTACCTTATCATATCTTGCTATACCTTGCATTAAAAGAATGTTAATATTAAATTATTAATTTCACAAATAGAATTATTCCTCCATCACTTCAGTGAATATTTATTAAATGCCTATTAAGTTCCAGGTATTATTCTAGGTACTGCTGATGAAGAAAAGAACAAGGTTCCTGCTGTCTTAGAGCTTAAGTATAGAAAAGAAATAGACCAATAAATATAGACCTAATACCACATAATGACAATGTAATAAAGAAAAATGACATTGGTGAGGGATGAGAGACTCAAGAGTGAGCCTTTAGTTAGGGTGGTCAGAGAAGACTTATTCAAGGAAGCAACATTTGAGCAGAGAATTTTTCATTTATTTGTTTGACAATTATTTATTGAACACTCTGTATATGGAGGTCACAATGCTTGCTACTGTGGAGTTGCAGAATAAGACAAGATCCCTGGCTTCCAAGAGCTTACAATCTAGCAGAGGAGTGAAGACTACATAGAATTTATTAAATGTTTTAAGTAAAATGTGAACAATGTAAGGGGTTGGAAGAGGGAGCTATTTTTTTCAACTCTAGTTACTAAGTACACCTACTAGAACAAGATAGGCCTTAGAGAATGGATGTGTGGATAGGTAGATGTGGGTCTGTGTGCAAAAGAAAATCTACAGAAGGATGGAAGAGAACATCATGAGTGAAGCAAAGCAGCTAGAAGCATGAAGGGTACTTAGAGAACAAAAAAGGTGCTTAGAGAGCAGTTAGAATATTGCTTGAGTTGAATAAGAAAGTGTGCTTTGGAAGCTTGGCCCCTGGATACTCCTAACAGTTCGAAACAGCTGCCATAAGCAAGATACTCATTTGAAACCTTATATTCTATCTTTAAAATCCATGTGAATATTGATTCTATTATATTAATTCATATATTCTTGTTTTAGTGAAAAAAATATTTTCCCCAAATTCTTTGAGTAAAATTAACACTTAGGAAGGTGTGTTGTGTTTACCTTTTGGCTTCCAGGAGCTCTGTCAAATATTTGGTTGGACATTCATGTTTTACTTCAAGAAGCACAGATAGAAGAATAGAGAGAAATCTAAAAAAGTTGATTGAATCCAAATATTACTGTGTTTTGAATAACAGACCCACATAATTTTGAATTTTTTTATGTAGGAAATGAAAAGCTAGTAAATGTTTTCCAACAGAACATGAGCTTTATCTTTGCTCATGTTATTTCCTCACTCGGTGTAGATTGTCTTCTTCACAATCCTGCTCATCTATATGGTCCAGCTCCAATGCGGCCCCTCAACTCAGCCTTCTGATTTCTACACCTGGAATTCCATGGCAGTTTGTCAGTACTTTCTTGGCATTTACCACATTTCACTGCATTTTAGTCATTTCATGCTTGCAGCTCTATCCTGCAGACTAGAAACTTCCACAGAGAACACAAGAAATGCTTGTAGAATAAATGCAGAATAAGAGCTTCCTGAAATGGAACGCATAATCCAGTACCGGGATGAAGAATGTACCAGAGGTGGGTAGACAAGAGGCAGTGAAACAATTAAGAAACTGTTGACATTTTTCAACCATAAGGTAGTGAGCACTGAACTAGGGAAAGATGGATATGTAACATATCTCAGAGGTAGAATCTGAGTACTTTATTGGAAAGAGAAAGAGGAAGATATGCAGAAAAAGAGAAAGACATGCAGGAGGCTGGAATTCTGATCTATTAATCAAAATAGGGAATTTAAGGAGGGCTGATGTTGAGGAAAGATGGAAAATTTGGATATTTTCTATATCGTTGATGTAAGCATTATATGCAATTGTTAACTGGCAAGGGAGAGCCACTCAACCCTGGAAAAAGTTATAAATGAAGGGAGATTTAGGAACCATTTATAAGTGAGCTAATGGTGGTCTACAACATTCCTGAACAAGCCTTTGGAGTAGAAAGATGGATTGGAAGAATGAAATTAGGAATGTACATATTAAAAGGAGGGAGAAAAAGAATGGGAGGGAAATTAAGGAATAGGGAATGAAAATCAGGGAGGCAGAAAGGGAAGCAGGACATACTAGAGTTTCCAGGAGGAGAAAGCCTCATCCATCTGAGAGTACGGAGTTGTAACATGGATGTGACAATTGGGAGACCTGTAGAGTCGTGGGAATATTGAAGTAAGATTTCAGGGAGGTGAAGAGAATGAGGGCACAGGCACCAAGCCTGTGGTTGCAAATGCTCATTGAGCTGTGTGTGACTCTAGAGAGAGGGAGAAGCTTAGCACAGGTTGGTAGGCAGGGCCCAGATCAGGTGGGATCAGGGAGGTACTAATGCCCTCCCAATTTAATTTTTGTACTTCTCCCCTACTCATCAGGGTTGAGGCGTTTTGTTCTCTGCCCATCCTAGCTTATCCTCAAATTCACTAGTACCCCAAGATATGGACCTTCTTAAAATGATTATTTCTGTTCAAAATGTATCTGTGCTATGTACCATTCCTTTCGAGTAGCATTTTCCAGGTGTGTTTCACAACTGGGGGTTCTTCAAGGTGCTCTATGTGAAAGGACTCTGTCGTCAAGTATGTATGGGAAATACTGCAGGGAATGTGAACATGTCCTGGATGCTCTGATAAAAGACAATTTAGTACCATATTTTGCCATGTATAATGCGCACTCATGTTTTTGGCCCAAACTTTCAGGGAAAAAAAGCCTTTTGTTTTAATTTTTTTACTCAATTTTTTATTCATTTATATTTAGAAACAAAACAGATTCTTGTATTCCAGGTATTTTGCATACAGATATCATTATTGCTTTCTAGAGTTACACTTTTAACACATAAGCATAAATAAAAGAATTTAAAACACTTATATAGATACAGAATTAGTACTACCCACAGTCAATGCACATCCTTATTTTTTCCTCAAGAATTTGGAGAAAAAAGTATACATTATACATGGAAAAATATGGTAATTTTGTTCAAACTACCAAATATTATTTGTTCACAGACCCATCCTTTTTTTAGTTACTGTCACAAAACTCTTAGTGCTTCCATATGGGGAAACTTTGCTTGAGGGTCTTGATGATGGACAATTAATCTGATAAATGCATACAAGTTTGGTATTAATGATTGTGGAAGGACAAGTAACCTTCTAATACTAAGTATTTAAAATTTAACAGGTAATTTAATAAGAGAATCCAAAGAAAGTTCAAGGTGCAAAGTTCAGTTCTAAAGGATGACATGTGGGGATAACATTTTGGGCAGTGTAGTGTTTTAGGTCTCTCAAGTCACACTGTCCAAGCGGACGATGGCTGCTCAATATCTATTATCACTTTTCAATCCACACCTTAATTTTTTAGCTTTTTGACTAGGGCTATTACTGTGTTTTGACCTCAGAACTTCAATCCATTTTTCATGCAACCTGAAGAATGGAAAGGAGGAATACAGCAGGGAGATGATATCTGGTGTGCTGCGTTTTCACCTCTACAGACTCTTGTAACAGATTAACTAAACCTTCACTTGACAGTCAAGGGGGAAAGTTTGGTTTCTTTCATCTCACTCACTAAAACAAGCAAACAAAGAAACAAACAAAAAAACCTTTTCCCATGCAAAATGAATATTTTTGAAGAAGCAATCCTTGAACTTAAAGCTGCTCTTGGTCCTTATTTCTAGGGTTTCAAATTCTATTTTCACCATTTGCAACTCACAATATCGAGCAAGTTATTTACACTGTAAATCATAGTTTTCTCTGGCTAACAATAATGTATCTATATCTTAGTTTATAGTGAAGATTGAGTAAGATAATTTGTGTAAGGGCTTAATGCAGTTAGCTTTTAGTTTTATTGTCCTTTTTTCAGGAGAAGCATTAGGGCTCCTGAATACAAATTGCACTTCTGTGGTATTCAGATGTTTCATAATGGGATTGTGTTAACCCTTTGGCACAATGTAGTCTAAGCAATATTGGTTAAAGACTGGCTTCATAAAAATGTGAACACATTTAAGCTCTTAAAAACATCCATGGACAGACTTTGACGTGACATATTAAAGAGAATAAAAAAATGTTGTATCATTTCTGGCCAAAGAAAACAATTTAAAAAGACAGATTGCACCATGAAATTAACAAGCCCATATTTTGACAGGCTGCTTTTTAAAATAGAATAAAAAATGTCATCAATTAAGAGGAATGAAAACTTACAGGAAAAGAGCCAGGATATCTATGAAGTGTTACAATATGAGGTTTACTGCTCTATCTGTACTTAAAGTTGCACTGTTTTTAGGAGTTTCCTGATTACCTTCCAGTAGAGCCAACGCTGCTCTTCAATTTGCTTTATAAATGCTGGAAGTCAGCCTCTACAGGGAGTATCACATACTGAACGACGATGGAAACAAGTAATCTATAAGGCTGTATAGCTGATATTTTGAAGTGTCATAAAATACCATTCTAATTGGTGAAGAGATAATGTCTTCATTCATTCTCATTTCATCAGTCCTATGTGAAAAAGTTTAGTCAATCACTTTGAGAATAGAGCATTACAAAATCATAGGATAAGGTAGCTACTACCATGGGCAGCTAATCCATGGAAATATATCATCCTTGGCCAATTTGTGAGTTTCACAGGTTGCTGTCTCCAAGACAGTACAGAGCTTAGTATTATTACTCCCTTCTATTTCCAAATCTCACAAAAGGCACCATATGTACATCCTACTCAATCTCAGCTTTTCCTCTCTGCTCTTGACATTGACAGCTCAGCAGGGAGCTATCCTCATTGAGCTGCTGAGAGCAAGGATCTGGCATGTGTTTCTCCTCTGCAAGACAGACTCAGGAGCACTTAGCCTCATTATTTGGGTTTTCCTATGTCCTCTGTGAAGAGCAGCAGGGATGGACTTTTTGCAGGGAAAACTTTAGGATTGGGGAAAGAAATATGCAGTATAGAATATAGGATGGAGGGAATAAAAAGAAGACACACATACTAGAGGAGAGATATGGGAAACAGGAACTTAGAAAACTTGATTTGCCTGCCCTCACTCAATAATAAAAAAATAAGATAATTATTATTAATACTTTTTTCAGTACTATTCATATGCTAGGTACTATTCCAAGTACTTTTTATTCTTCACATCAATCCGAGGAGATAAATACAATTTTAAACCAGATTTTTAGATAAGGAAATTGTGGCATCATGTAGAGTTAAATATCTTGCCCAAGGTTGCACAGATAGTAAGTGGGAAAACCAGGACTTACACTCAAGCTGTTTAAATTGCAAAGCCCTTATTCTGAAAACTTTAATACTATAAGATAAAAAGATATAATAATAATTTCTATCATACTTAATGCACAGATATGTTGTGAGGATCATATATTCTGAATTTTAATAAAAATACTAGTTATTATTATTCATTCATGTCTCCAAAAAATATGTAGAGTACTTACTAGGTACCATATCCCATGCAAGATGTTATGACAATGACTTCTCATTGTTGTTGGTCATATTTCTCTAACTTTCTGGCAATATATATTCTCTATTCTGGTTCATATAGAGAGTTATGATGGAGAAATTATTCATGGGACAACAGAACAGAAAATTCTCACTTTGTCCTTCACCTTGATTACCAGAGGCTACTAAAATCAAAATCAGGTGAGTGCAAGTTTGAAACTAAAATATAGTAGCTGAGTCAAACTGTAGTAGGCCTGGTTGTTTATTCATGTACCATTGCATCTTGTTCCTAAATTATGGATGATTGGCTATAGGCGCAAGGGATTAGGGATATTGTTGTCAAAGTAACTTTAAAAAACCTTGAAATTTACTTGGTTTAGCAAATTCTCCACGGCATGCCATTTTTTCTCTTTATACTCTATCAGCATTTCTGAATTACTGACAGCAGGGAGCAAATCTCTCATTTTTAGTTTTTACCAATAAACCTCACCAAATTGCCTTTGAGTGAACTCTTGGCAAGAAAATGGAAACTCATGTTCACTTGATTGGCTGCTCAGGCTCAGTCTGGAGCGTGTATTAAATATTATGCCACCTGGAAATCTTAAATTATTTCTTGCTTTAGAAACCTGTGAGGAATATTAGATGGGACTATATTGTATTTTATGGGAATTTAGCGGAGCACATGCATATTTTATACTTAAGTATAATGTCTTGACAATTGACGTTCACATTTTATGTTACTTTCCTTAGATACTAAAGGTTGTTCCTTAGACTAATTTATTCAGGTATGAATATGTATTCCTCATGGCCCAGCACGATTCTGTTGTCTCAATTGGATAAACTCACAGAGGCTGAATGAGACCTTAGGAAAAGACTGGTTGGTTATTAGATATAGGTTGTGAGTGTGTGTGTGTGTGTGTGTGTGTGTGTGTGTGTGTGTGTGTGTGTGTGAAAAGTGGAGGGACTGATTTGGTAAGAGCCAGGGAACAAATTTAAGAGAGTTAGTGCGTACTAGCCTGCAGGCCCACAATTCTGACCTGCTTTATGTTCAAGGAATGAACCATTAGGGTTCATCTGAGCTCTCCAAGGTGAGAATGGAATTCTGCGTCTTCCTCTCTGATGACCTTCAGGAGAACAATGTCTTGGTCTCATAGCAAACCTAACCATGGCTACAATTAAAAACATAGAGATGGATAAGAAAGAAAAAAAGATAACATGACATTTCTAAAAGATGCTAGAGGTATTGCTATAGATTTCTTATTTAAAAAATTTGAAGATGCTTCTGTATAGATTTTTCATAACTATGTGCAGACTATTCATAGATTCTAAGATGAACATCCCCCAGCTTTTATCAGTGTGGCTTGGAGAGAATGTCATGAAATAATCAAAATACCATTAGGAATATCATTTCCAAGGTAACTCACTAACAAACAACATTGCTAAAAAAAAACTCATTTAAATATATTTAAATAGCCATATCATGTTTATTAAATTATTTGCAAGATTAATATTAATGATTAAGAAACTGAAAATGTTATGACAATTGAATCACATTTGTCTCAAACATATCAAGATTTCTAAGGTGTTAGTAGGGACGAAAAAATGAAATCTTTATTAATTCACATCAAGAGAAAAACAATGTAAGATTATGGACTATGCAGACCAAAAGGGAATCAAACTTGAAGTTGAGGTTGAGGAAGTGAATAGCAGAAGTCTGGATGAATGTTGAGTGAAAACCCATCTGAGGCTTGAGGGGCCCCCCTGAGATTGTGATGAAGGTGGGCCTGTTGTTTTTCATAAGCATTCTTTTAAAAAGCAGATGTTTCTCTTCATTATGGCCTTCCAGCTTTGTCTCTGTCACAGATATAAAGCCTCAAAAGCTCCTCAATATTGGGAGAAGCTGTTCCAGCCACCCTACAGCAGACCAGACTGCCCCGGGAGCTGGTTCCTTTGAGACTGACACTGTGAGCAATACTGCTGTTATGAGGCTTTGCTTCCTTGAAGCAAGAAAGGATATTGCAGTGACAGGTAAACTATAATGTATTTATATTTTGACCGTAGAGTGCTGTGATAAATTGTAAAATGCTGGAAAATGGGGCAATAAAGAGAACTCAATCTAATTGTGTCTCCGTTTTATAGAGTTTGACTGCATCTATCTACAGTCAGCACTCGGTCATGGGAGGCCCTCCCCGGCAAACGTGGTTAGGGTTCAGGAGGATGGATCCAAGAACAGGAGCCAAACTAGACCCTGCCAGCAGTTTGTATAGCACTGCATATGTCAGAATCAGAGTGAGAAAAGCTCTGGCAAGCTAGCTAATATGGGCAACAATCAGAACTGGTGTTCCCTTCATGACATAAAGAGGTTTGGTAGGGTAGACGGCACAGTAGGAAATATGTTGTGTACAGATATATCATAGAACCATGCACTTGAAACCTATGTACTTTTATTAACCAATGTCACCCCAATGCATTTAATTAAATTTTTTTTTAAAGTAAAAATGCTCCAGATACATGAGTTAAGCTTAGGTGTATATGCAGCAGCATGGTGGAGTCTGAGACTGACTGCTCTGGCAGCTTGTTCCCAATTGGACTAGGAGAAAATAGCGTGAAACCTGAAGATTGGAGGCAATAGCAAAGTTTAAAGTAACTGCTGATCCCAGGGCAAGAGAGATGCCTGCATTTGTCTTAATTTTTTTGGAGCGGGGCTCACACTTTGTGTCAGACCAGCTGTGTGTCAGAGTCCTGGTTAGAGCCTCTGCTGAGATGTATGTGAACGCTGGCGCTACCATATGATTTGCTGTAGTTATTTAGTAGTATATGGATGAAATAAACAGTATCTTAATTTTCCCCGTTTTCACTGATTATGCTAGCTTAGTATTGATGCAGCCTTTGACAGTTAGATTCTCAAACTTCCTATTTTCTGAAATTCACTTATATTCACAAAATGAACTATTATCTTGAAATTGCTCTTATTTCCTCGACTAATTCTTCTTAATGTTATCAGTATTCCTAAATTGTTTCTACTGAAGCAGCTATATGCTATTATTTCTACCTTAAACAGATATGGTTGTTAATCAGCAGTACATTTGTAAAGAAATTGAAAGTCATCTACAGATTTATCACATGATAGGAACTTTGACACAGAAGAATAATTTAGGTAAAGTATTTCTACAGAGCATATAAGAATGGAAAATGCAAAGGTTGGTTCTAGGCCTGTGAATGAAAAAATTGTTTCATAAGAGCTTACAATAAATTCTTGATTAAAAATGTAAAAAGAAGCTCATAAATAGATTTCTGAGCATGCTACCATATGGAAAAAAACAATAAGTATGCTGCTATAACTACATATATGCATCCAGATCTGTGCATGAAGAGTTTTGCTTCTTTGTTATTTATGTTCAATGGGTTATCAAGAAAGGTAGGTTGTATGTAATCATAATATAATCAAGCCACAATTAATATCTTATAAGTTTATTTGAAGGAACAATTTAATTTTGTCCTAATTTAAAAACCCAAATAATATCAAAATAACAAATGAAGGAAAGGGAACTAAATTTAATGGAGCATCTTACATATCCTATCTCATTTAATATCCAACCTAACCCAATGAGGTTATCATAGGGTTATCTCTATTTTATATCTGAGGGGATTAAATGCTGTGAATTGATCTCAGGGCCACTCACCTCTGCAACATGCACATGCTTTCCACAAGGCAAGCTACTGAAGTTGTTTCTGGTAATTATTGTCACAGTTTCCTAACTCAGTGTTACTTTACATGTCAGGAGGTGCTAACTTGGTGTCATGTGGAGGATCTGGGTATGTCAGATTCTGCAATACAATTCAGGAGCAACTTCTGGCTGAATTTTTGGCTTATAGTGGAGTTGAACTTATTATTATGGCTACTGATAAATTGAATCGATACCTCGCCACAGGAGATCTTGATGGATGGTTGAACATCTGGAATATAGAGGTGAATTGAAAACACTCCACATCATCTTTATTTTTTATTGCTTTTTGTTGTAGATAACTATGAATCCAGTCTTATCTGTTTCCTAGATAAAAGAAATGCTCATTCTTAGTATTTTATTTATTTTTTACAGTAATTATTTTTAATTTTTAAAAACTTTTTCACTTACAATTGGCATTGAATATTGTATTAGTTTCAAGTATACGACATAGTGGTTAGACATTTATACAACTTACAAGGTGATCCCCTGACAGCCTAAACATTTTAAAGGAAACATTTACAGGTATTGAGCAGAGACTTCCTTTAAGTAATTTATGGAGAAAACCAGATTTTTCTTAGTATTAAAAATCTCCTGTTACTATATACTCAGGTCAATCACCCAGTTTAAGAATGCAATATTGTCAGTAAGGTAGTGCAGCATTGTTTGAGTATACTTAGGATATACAAAGGATACTCAAGGATATACAAAAGATATATCCTTAGTATACTTAGGATATAGCCTTATTTGAAATAAGACTATAAATGTAATTTAAAGTACTCATTCTTCATCTAACATTATTGTCATCCTGAGTTAATTTGGGATTCTTGTGTCACCGATTACCCCTTCAATCTTCTAATAATATTATAAATTAATATAATATGTGACTCCTTATAGATGATAAAGTTCCCCTCTATCAAATAACTTTACTGTTCATTTTTTCTTTTCATCCTTCCTATCTCCCTCCTTCCTTTCTTCCCCTTTTTCAAGTTAGTCAAATAAGTTAGAAACCTATTTTTGTGTTAATGCATTTTTCTAACCTCTGTTATCATGAACTATTCTTTTGCCTTTGGATCACAGATTATTGTTCTCAAATGGGCCTACTTTTCATTTCTGTATGAGATGTTTTTTAAAAGGAATGTTATGTCACTGCAATAATTTAATATTTGGACTTTTTAGAACTCTGGCATTTCTTTTCCTTTAGGATTACTGCCTTAATTCTAGTAAGAGCAAAGTCACACAGACCCCACCTCTGACAAGATCGTTCCAACCTCCTGAAGACCAGATAAGTTCCTTAGAGATGTGTGAGCCGGGTGTGTGTGATACCTGATTATCTCGTCCTCGGCAGATTGCAGCATTTGTGTGACTGATGTCTGCGGTGCTTCTGTCTGGATCTTCGGTCAGGTAGAAATATTGCTTTATTATTCTCATATTTACCTGACATTTAATATGACTTGGGTTGATTTCCATTTGAATCCCATCAGCTGGTGATGGTCATTAGTCATGAGAGAATTGACTTAGCTCCAAGGCATCTCTTGTCCTGTTTGCCGTTAACCATGGCAGTTCTCTCAGGTGCAGGACACCAAAGAAGGGAAAGGTGTTGACTCTGTGCAGCCCAGCTTAGTCCAGGATTTCTGAAAAAAAATTCTTTTCTAAAATAAGTGAATTCTTTCCCTTTCAAAATTGTGTAAAAACACAATGTGGATAATATTAATATATTTTATTAAACACAGATGACTCTGACTGTAAAGTAACAATTAAGGTAATATTAAAATAGAAAATTTTAGGTAAAAAACAAACCTTGCTGTTCATCATCTGGTTTACTCTTGTGAAATTAATAATAGCTGACATTTGCTCAGTTTTTCCTGTATTCCTGGGGCACTGTTGTAAGATCTCTATTTTTATCTCATGCGATCTTCACAATTGCCCATCCTCTTATGAAGAACTTTTATTATTCCTACTTCACACATGAGGAAACATGGGTGCAGAGAGTTTGAGTAAATTGCCTGAGCTCACAGAAGCTAATAAGTAGTAGAGTTTTGCTTTTAACACAAGCTGGCTTGTGTCAGAATTCATGCTTTTAATCCCCACCTCCCATGAAAGTCAGCTCTCATTTGTACCTGCCTGTGGCGGGGAGGGGGTAAAGGAGAGGGAACGGAAGTGGGAGAATGGAAGAAAGTATTCATTTTCTCACATTTCGCTTCCTCTTTTGTTTGTCTTCATGGAAACTCTGCTCCTGTTCCTTTTGTGCTTTTGGGAACAAAATATTGGTTTGATCTGTTTCAACCAGTACTGTTTGACTATGTCAGTGTGAGGTTACACTCAAACCTTAATTTTTGTCTGATTGGTTGACTTGGTTCCATTCAGCAACTTCGGGTGCCACGGTCACGCTGCAAGAGCACAGCCATTCTCTTCATGTGGGAAGACAAAGCCTATTGTTGCTCTGTTGTTAAAATCAGTTCAGTGAGGTCCACCTGTGCTGAAAGAATTCTGTACAACCCTTTAGGCCGTGAAGGGTGAGGGTAAATCAGAAAATAATCTGAGGAGGTGAACTCTCATTTGGCAGGTTAATGTGGAAGTCTCAGTGTAACACTCAAGAGCTGCAGTCTTTCCTGCTCTGTAAATGAGGCAAGTGCTAGACTTTTCTTAGGAAAAAATAAACCACAAAAAAACATCTGAGTGGGAACTTGAATGAGTGTGTGGGTAGGCATATAGTGAGTGAGAGAAAGTGGTGCGCACTGGCGTCCTGAATACAGAAAGAGGTAGAAAGCTGTTCTGGGCAGTGAAGAAGTTAATGCAATGCTAACATTGCTCTGCTGACAGGCCACATGGGTGCACATGAGATGAGGTGGAAGTTAGAATGACAGGTGATCAAAGCGCCATCAAGTGGGTGACGTCTGAAACATAAGAAGTCTCATAGATGAGACGGAAGCAGAAATAAGACTGTTTCATGCGTGGGTGCCGCATAAACTGTGCCCACAAAACACAATCTGTATCTAAATTTTATTTTAATTAAGAAGTATGTGTTAGTAAAACTGTTCATTTTTATGTCTTTGATATTTTTCTTAGTTATTTTGAAGAACTTCAGTCCCCAAAAACCTGCATTAAAATAGCTTTTTTTTTTTTCCTGCTGTTGAAGACAGAAAAAGAGTCACCAAAGCTGGTTTAGTTTTACAAAGCCAAGTCTGGCAAAGCAAGGGCAACTGTGTTTTCTAGTCCCTTCTGCTTGAGCTTTTACAGTTTTTTAAAGACTTTTATTTTAAATCAAACAGTCTTGAATATGGGTGTTGGTAGTCCCAAGAGGTACAAGGGACTAGGGCCAGAAATGGGAAGGGAGGGAAGAAGGATGGGAACAGAAAAATTAGCAGGTGTTCAAGAGTAGCAACAGTGAATGTCCTTATCATAGTGTATAAGATGAAACAGCCATTTACAGAAAGATGTGGGAAATACGTAGACGGAAATATGTAGATAAGAACAGAGCCGGTTAGTAAATATAACTAGGATAAGAATAATTTTTACTGAACAAATTTGATTTGTAAAGCATAGTGACTTTTGCTCTACATTTGAATGAGGAATTTGTCTTATAGCTGAATTAATTCTGGTCTAGCAATTATAAAAACAGGAGGAAAGCATTAATGTATTTTAATTTCCCATGTTAAGACTTAATTTTTGAATTACATACAGCCTGATTAAAGTGCTGAAAATTTAATGCAATGTGATTCTACATATTTCATGAAAGAAATTTTTTTAAAAAATAAATGTGAATCACTTTTACAACATAGCTATTGATCTAAGATTACTTTTCAAGTTAGATTTTTAAAAATAAATGGTGTTGTATATCTCTTTCTAGAGTTGGAGAAATGGGGGTGGAGATTATTTAACCACAGAGATACATTTATCCCAGGAAACTGTCAGGGGATTCTGATATAAAAAGAAATTAGATGCGGTTTGCACTTCTTCAGTGCCTGCCTTTAAGCACTCGCCACAGTTGGACTGGGTGGAATTTGGGTACCGGCACTGCTACCGAACAGAGATGGGGGCCCTGCTGCCCGCTGCTGCCCATAAATTCCGGAGGCAGAGGTTTGGTAAAAAAGGCAAGGAATCATGCATTTAAAAGCTACACAATTTTGGAATAATGACAGGCTTCTCCCTCAGAGCCGATTCCCTCTAAAACACCCAAAGAAAAATAACCCCACCACCCTTTGTTAGAGGAGTTCAAAGCTGTGCCTGGAATTCCTTCTTCTATTTAAAATACCATTCTTTGGCAAACAGGGGTGGCTATACTGTGATCATCCAGGTGGCTTCGCAGGTTCCTGGTCAACATGGCTTCAGGAATCTTTCTGGAGTCTGTGTACACGTGTGGCATGTAGCAAGGCCCGCATAGCCACACCGCCGTCGTTGCTTCCATGCTGGGAGGGGCTCGGGGCCCTGCCAATCACTGCAGCCAGGAGTACAGGAGCTCCATCCCGGGACCCAGCGCCAAGACTGCTGGCGCCACCCGGCGGGAGAGCACTCTGGCCCTGTGCCTTGCATTGATCTTACAGGCAGAGAAGGGTACGATCTGGGACCTTCCGTGCTGCACAGAGCTGTGGTGCCCCATAGGCATCATGGGGGGCGCGCATCCGTGGGCACAGGACTTGGCTTTGGCACAAGCTGGGCCTCAATCCAATAAGTGAGGGAAACCAGAAGGGTCAAGTCTCTGCTTGCCCTCCGTTTAAATCTTCAGGACCACAATTTCTTGTGCTCCGTCATCGGATGGAACGGGGATGCTGTCACGTCCCTTCACCTGGGGGTTTGGAAATCTCTCACAGGCTGTGACCTCAGTCCCACCATCCCCAGCATTTCCTCACCCCTCCGTTCTCCTCGCGGGCCCTCCCGCACCCCTCAGGGTCCTTCCTGGTTCTCCAGCAATCTCCCCAGGTCCTCCTGTTTCAGCACCTCTCCTACTCCTCTTCTGGGGGCCAGTGACTTTGTGCCTATTCGTCCAGTGTTTAAAATTTGATTTAGTTGCCCACATTTAAAAATTAAGAATTGATGTAAGATCCAGATTTCTCGCTTCTTTTAAAAAAGAACATATGTCATTCCTTGAGACTAAGTGTAAAATGGATTCTCTCTAATTCAGTGCAGTCCCCACCGTCCTCTATTGTCTATGAACACTGCGGATGGATCATCTTCTATGAGCCTTGATTCGTTCATTGGCATTATCGTCCTGGCTCCTGCAGGCATTTTACTTAGCACACCCGTCTGACAAGGTTATCAGTTTGTAGAACAGTCAGACGTCCTGGGGATGCATATTGTCACCCTCCTATCACAGTGGCTGTGTTCTCTGGTGCATTCCTGTGTCTACACTGTGAGTTGACAAGAAACAAGGAAATCGGTTCTGTATCTAAAATATAAAATAGATTGTCCTTCGGAGCTTTTGCTAGATGGATACATATTAATAATTATAGCCAAAATCTGTTAAAACTATTAAATAATATTTTTTTCTGGGAAAAATGCTCAATAATTGGACTTGCTTTTGAGATTTTTAAGAAATTAGATGAAAAGTAGTAGCTGTATCAAAAATAAACTCTCATGATTCTTCAACAAAAGCTTTGTTTTTCTATTAAGGACTTTAAAGTAGGAGTGTTAATTTTTTTGGTAGTTCATTATTATCTTCTCAGGGAATTTTTGTTAGTTTCTTGTGACACTTATCCCTTTCTACCTTTATAAAAGTTCCATGTATATGTGTTTTCTCCCTTACAAGACTGTAAGTTTCTTGAGAACAGAAACCATGTCTCATTCCTTTATTGAGTATGTCCCCAGTACTTTAAATAACAGTGTAGCATACAAATGTTCTAAGAAATAAAATTATAAAAATAAATTAAATCTCTTTGTTTTCATAGGCAAAGGACTGGCAAATTGAAAACTGTTTCTCTCTTCCTAAGAAGGATAATAATTTAACAAACAATGAGATTCAAGAAGAAAGTATAAGTGAAATTCTTTTACTTTCTAAGGAGCAATCATGTTTAGACCCAACAGAACTTTCTCTACTTGATAAGAAAAACAAAGATGAGTCAACATACAAGTAAGTAATTTTAAGTGTTACCCAGATGTCACCTGGAGTCTAGGTAAAACCTAGGTGACATTGGCCCAGACATCCTTCTGTGCTCTGCAAAGTCCAGTGACTATCTCATGATTTCTCTAAAATTTGGGGGAGGTATAGGTTTGCATGTGGCGCAGGAAGCATGTATGTCCTCAAGGTTATATGTGATTCTTATATCTTGACCTCATTGATTTCTATTCAGTGTCTCCCAGCCCTTTGTTTCTGTTCCATCAGCAGCCTAATTGTAGAAATTAACCTCCTCCCCCCCGCAAAAAAACGTGTGTGTGTGTGTGTGTGCGTGTGTGCACATGTCTGTATCTATCTCAGAATGTAGGTCAGATTTTACTCCTGATTTTGGTAAGGTGCACAGAAGGTTATATGACAGAAGTTCAAAGAGCCTGACTTTGATTATTAGACATGACTCTCCTTTTATGCTTCCAGCTTTCCCTCCATGCTGTTCAGCCATGTCTTCTCTTTGTTCCACTCTGCTAGATCCCATTTTCACATTCCTCTTTCTCTCATGCCAGGCAGCTTTAGTTATTTCCTTTGTTTCCTAGTCTTCCTAACCTATGCTCTCTTAATTTTACCTTTCATGCTAAACAACTATTATTCTTGAGAGGATGATTTTATTCATTGTATTTTCTTTGATACAAATGCAAAAATTTTTATCATGTGCATGTATTACCTTTTTTTAGGATTTTAGAAAAAAATTGCACAAAAAATACAGTTTCTAAATACCCCACCTCATCACATCCTATCTTGCATTAATGTGGTACATTTGTTAAAATTGATGAATCAATATTGATACTTTATTAATAACTGAAGTCCATAGTTTGCCTTAAGGGGATACAGTTGTAGGTTCTTCGAGGACCTCACTCCACATTTCCTCAGCACATTTCCAAATCAATCCACTCTCCAACCACTCTCCTATGGCTCTACCCCACCATCTGGGGTTACCTTTGGAACATGCATCTCAGTGCTTTTCTGGCACAGTTCCTATGCATTGGTAGGCCTGCACTCTTGCACAACTCCTCCTGGGTTCACTTCTGCTTGGCCAATAGGAAACTTACTCATCTTTGCCACACCAACTGTCTCCTAGTTGTCCCCTCTATTCTTACTCACCTGGGTAGCTCCAGCACAACCTCTTGCCTGTAGACTTTTTCAGGAATTAATGAACCACTGGTCTACTGTGTCCCTCTGATGATTTCTGCAGGTAACACACATTAAACTTTTTGACTGATCTATGTGAATGGAAGCTAGAACTGAAGGGAAAGCTTCCCTCTACTCTCGTGGGAGTGGGCCTCAAGCACACCAACTCTCTCCTCTCTTATATTATTGCATCCCTGGTCTGTTCATATCTTAGAATGGTGGTTGGCCGGGTATCACCAGGTTGGTTTTGGAGCTACCTCATTTAGGAATACGGGATACTTTTAACCTCTTAATTAATTGTTTTGCTCTCAGAACTTTGGGACCTCTGCTGACAGGGAAATAGAAGAAAAAATCCCTTTTAAACCTTCTGTTACACTAAATTACACTTTGGTATTTGTTTTTCTATTTCCCTGAATTATGGCTTGCTAAAATGTCAAGTGGCATTTTACTTTCAGGCAGAATGATCTTTTCAATGTAGAAATATGGCATGACCAATCCTCTACAATAAGAGAATCCTGAGAATGGAAGGACTTTTGCTATGACAAAATACCCTACCCAACTGTCCAACTCAATTTTATAGATCAGGAAATAAAGTTACCCAGGATAACACAAAGAGCTCATTGTTTTTCTTCCTGTCACACCCCCAAAAGAGTAAAATCAAGTGTTATAGATTTCTGGGTGACAGTATTTCAACAAATATCTTAGTTTCCCTTCCTTGTGACAAACTCAGCTATTATTTTTTTTTAATGAGCCTTTCCTTAGACTTAAAATTTAGCAATTTGAACTGTTTACTTCCTTCTTGACTTTCATCTCATCCTATTACATTTCCTATTGTTGCATGACATTTTGTGTTATGAAAATTAGTGCTAATATGTAGGTTTTCAAATTCACAGATTTCTCTTAAAACTAGAACTTTGTATTCTGCCAGATTAACTAAGTGTACAGCAGAGTGATGTTCTCACCTTGGCTGTAAGTTTCTGTAGGCCTTGGGAGAAATTTCCAGCAGTAAGAAGCAAAATTATCACTATTGTACTGTGTCTTGTTAAACCAATACATCCAAAAAAAAAAAAAAACCCAAAAAACAAAAAACCCAAAACAAAACCTGTGATCTTTAAAATTTCTGCCTTTATCTAATTCAGATGACTGGATTGAAGTAATTTTAAGACTTTGTAGTGATGAGTTAGTACAGAATGATGTCATTTAAGAATTATTGAACAAATTGAAAGGAAAAGTTTAAAAATATATCTTCAGAATTGACTTGTGAGGTATATGCCTCACTTCTCCCAGTAAGTCTGTGTGGAAAACATAGGTGCAAAGTCATTGTCAGCTGTTAAAATGTTTTTCATGGCCTCCATTCCATACTGAGGAGATTACAGGTTATTTTTTTCTTAAGAAAATATTATTCTGAAAAATGTCTTATTTTCCTAATCTGATTAATAAATCCAAGGAGAAAAATCATGCCAATTCTTGTCTATATACAAAAATATGAAAGAAGCATGTAAAAGAATTTAAAGAGATGAAAGGGAAAAGGGTCATTTGGTACAGGTGGGGCATGTTTAGATGGAGAGGTGAAACAGTAAAAAAGATGGAGAAACAAAAACTATGCTTTCATTTTAACTGCTAGGTTTATATATAAATACCAGTTTCCCATAGTACTTAGGTGTATTTTATAATATTATGCCTGAAAGTAGGTTGGTGGTAAAATGTCATCTTCCATTTAAGTTCTGGGGAGATGAAGATGAATATAGAGTTCTAAGAGGACAAGGAAGTCCTAATGCTAAGTTAACAATTGATACACAGATATAAATTTTACCCTTCCTTAGGTTCTTCAAAAACCATATTGTTATTACAAAATGAAAAAAGAAGAAAAAATAAATTAAAGGGTAAGACAGGCAGCCAGAGCTACTGTGGGCATACATTTTTCTAAATTTATGTTCATATTTAATTTATGGAATCACCAAAAATTAATCCAGAAAAATATAGAAAAATAACTTATAACCTCAGAATATTTTAATACAAAAATATTAAATATTCATTAAGGGAAAACCTGGAGTAAAAATAAGCAAGAAGAAGAAGATGAAAGAAATCACCCATAGCAAAGCCATTGCTAACACTTAGGAATTTTACTCTCCAGGCTTGTTCTGGGCATACTTATGCAAATAAATGAATGTGCAGCTTACAAAAATGAGGATTTAGTATATATAATTTATAACCTGTTTTATCACTCAAAAATATACAGCAAGTTTATTTCTGTATTTTTAATATGAGTGTCTACAGATATCAACATGCATTAACAACTCCCTAGGAATATACCATGTGGCTTTTTTTTTTTTTTTTACCATTCTCATGCATTTAAACTGTTTACAAATTTTAACTGGGTAAATATTTCTTTAAATATCTTCATGCGCATTTTGTTAGAGTACTCAGCTGAGTACTCACCATTAGAATAAGTTATTTGAAGTGGAGATGCTGAATCAAAAGGTTTAAAGACCTCGGGGTCATCTTGCTAAATTGCTGTCCCAACATGTGGGTTCTCTCTCCAGTGTATATGAAAATGGTGGCCCCTGAACTAATCCTGCATGTTGTCATTGTCTTAAAAATGTTGTCACCATCTTTATTGTTTTATATAGCATTTTAAATTACTTGTAGAAGTTTCACATGACTGTTAACCTTTAATAATTCAATAATCAAGTTGAGAGAGATATTGGAAGTCTACAAAACTAGCTCCTGTGGCACCCTTCAGAGGAGCACATCCGAGCTGCCTTTGAATAATTGCCATGGGATGAGCTCACCATCTCACAGGTAGCCGTCACTGTTATTGAACCACTCTTTTTATAGGATGACTCTAATATTAGGTCAGATCTGTCCATTTGTAGAGGTCTCTTTCATTAATCTTTATTCTCCTTCTAGGACAGTGAAGAGCAAATCTTTTCTACCTGCATTTATCAACAAATTTTCTTTTGGCTACCATTAAAAAAGTTGCTAGTGAGGATTGGGTTAAATATTAGAAAGCAAAATTTTAAAAAATCTGATAGGAAATGAAACAAATACCCATTAATTTCTCAGTGGGTTTATGTAAGGCAGAAGATACAGTTAAAATAAATATTTTTAGACATGTGAAATAATTACCATGTTCTCAATTCTATATTATTGTAATGAAGAAGCTAATATTTAATATTATTTATATGCTATTGATTACCTAATTATTCTGCCAGTAGATCTTATGTGAGAAATTAAAGTGGAAAATTTATGGACAAGGGTAAGAGAAAATACACAAAATATTAAAATCTGATTTTAAATCAGGTCTTACAAGACATAAAACACTTGGAGGACTGACAGTCTACTTTCACCGACAATCTGTGGCAATAACTGTCATATACCCATGTATGACAAATGAAAGCAAATGAAGCTCTACTCAATTTTTGAAACTTAAGTCTTAAAAATAGTTGTACAGCAAATTATTATTTTTGTAAATGCTATGTATCCTTAGTTTTTGTCTGATGATTCTGATAGTTCCCAGGAGTATTGTAACTGGCTGTATGAAATATTGGATCTCTCTGTACTGAGTAAAAAATATTGATCCTAACCAATACTTATTGAGCTCTTACCACATTCCAAGCACTGTCCTAAAGTCTTTATGTGTTAAGCTAATCTAGTTGTCACTGTAATCTTCAGAGAAAGCTATAACTATGATCTCTATTTCACAAGGAGGAAAGCAAGGCACACAGAAGTTCAGTGAATGGCTCGATGTCAGCTTACAAACAAGAGGTGAATCAGGGATCTCAAAGCAGGAGTTCTGGCTCCAGAGTCAGTACTCTTTGCCACTACTCTATATTGTCTGTCCAAAAAGCATTCTGTGACAATATTGAAAAGTTATTGGTTTCTGAGTGAAGTGATCAAATATTTTGCCAAGTACCTGTTATATGTAAGGCACTACTGTAGGCATCTTCACTTTCCTTTAATGCCTAGCAGAGCACTGCGGATTTGTCACACATCATTCCTCTCCTCCACATCCAGATCCAAGAGATCAGAAGTTAGTCAGAGCCTTTCCTTCTCATAGAACTCATGGCAAGGCTACCAGAGCCCGTAGCAGGCCCACTTTCCCGCATGGCTGTGTAAAATGTGTTTGCCAGAAGCTTTAAATTCTAAGCCCTTGATTACATTATTCTGTTTCTTTGTCTTCATCCATTAATTCTATTGGGCTTTTAGGAATATTCACCTCTTTCTAGTTCTCTATATATTTTCATACTAACCACTCTCCCCAATGTCAGCTGTCTATGGAAAAGAAGCGATAGGTTGGCCTCTGGATGTGAAGTTACAACTACAGTCTGATTCTCACGGAACAGCTCTTTGTCCTGGAGCTTTATCAGTACAGCTGTGCTTCCTAGGCAGTCATCTAGGCGTGCAGCTTGTTGCAATTCTGGGGATTCCCTGCTAACTTCTGCTTACTTCTTTCCCTCTGTATATTAAATTCCTTAGTGAAGATAAGCAAAGTCTTTTGTTTTACACAAAAGATATTTGATTTAAATACCACTGGGTGAGAAAGCAAATGGTCTAAAAACAGAAAAGTTCAGGCTTTTGGGAAAAGATCAAGATCTGGTATTAACTAATCCAAAGATACACCTCACTACTTCTAGGCCTTCTTCAACCTTTGATACCTCATTTTATTTCAGAAATACTTTTCTGGAAGAAAATTCTTAACCTAATAACTACAAAGCCTAACTGCATCATACTCTATCCTCCTGTTTCCACTGCCAATTTCTCATTGTTACAGATTCTCTTAGCATCTTTTTTAAAAAAAAAAGTAATTTATTTTTTAAAGGTGGGGGGAAGAAAGGGAGAAAGAGACAAAGGGAATCATTGATTAGTTGCTTCCCGTACACACCCAACCTGGGACTGAGCCCACAACCAAAGCATGTCCCCTGACTGGGAATCGAACCAGCAACCTTTTGCTTTGCAGGAAGATGCCCAACCAACTAAGGGCACTCTTACTATCTTAAAATGACTCTAATGATACCATCATTCTTGTCTTCAAAGCCCAGATACTGGTTAAATAATATGGTCTTATTCATAGGAGATAGCATGTTGTTAGGGAGGCCACTCGTGTGTGCTTTGGGCTGGGGGGGACTGCCACCTGCCCTCAGATAGCCATCTCTGTAATTGAACCAGTCTTTATTATAGAATGACTGTAATGTTACGTCAAATTGATCCATTTGTAGAGGTCTGTTTCACTGATCTTTAGTCTCATTCTAGAACAATGAAGAACCACTCTTTTCTACTCACTTTTATCTACAAATATTTTGGATGGCAAAAATTTCCTAAAGAGTAAACAATCTCTAATTCCAAAAAAAAACTTATGTAGATACTCCCAAATCAAGGAAGTAGAGTTTCCCTCCCCATCTTCCTTTAACCATGAGCTATACTCAGAAACTTGCTTCCAGAGAGGAGTGTACAAAAAGGAAGGGGAAAATAATAACCTTTTTTCTGGTAGAGAATAAAGTTCTTATTCACTGTCCAAGAAAGGAGAGGGGCATGGTGTGGAGAGATACACCAGCATCGCAGAGTCGGGTTTTGCGCTTTTTTTGGATTATAATTGGATTAATAAAGGATAGGGGGCTGCTGCTGTGTAGACCCTGGACTGCTGGGGTGTTGTAACAGGAGGCTGCAGTTTGTCCAAAGGTTATCTTCCTCCTGGGGCTGTAGGGAATGGTTCGTTCTATTCTTGCTGGGGAAAAACAACAACTTTGAAAAGCCAGTGCAGAAACTTGGCAAAGAGCACCTTGGCCAGGTGATGACCTACAGCAGTCAGTCAGGTTGATAGCGTGTTCTCTTGATAACATGTGATGAGAATAGCGCTTCATCTTGTTGTTTTCCTCCCAAAGACCCATAACCTCCTCTAACCTTAAGAAAAACACCAGACAAATCCCAGTTGAGGGACATCCTACAAAAAATATGACACGCATTCAAAATTTCCAAAGTCATGACAAACGAGGAAAGTCTGAGAAACTGTCATATGCCAGAACAAGCTAAGGAGCCAGATTCTTGGCAATAAAATTTGTAGCTGTTAAGGTTGAGGTCTATGACAATGAGCGTTAAGTATATTTGAGACCATTTCTTGTTTTCTGACTGGAATTATATACAACTATATAATGATTTCACTCTGTGCTTTATTGATAAAACTTTTTTCGTTGGATTCAAGCTAATATAAAATTTTCCTACAAATTCATATGACAATCCTCAAAAATACTGAATTTTCCTGAATCTTGAATACCATATAGAGACCTAACATAGGATAACAGAGTTTTTGAAATATCCCACTGATTATCCCATATGATTGGCACACAGCATAGTGTGTGTTCCTATTAATTTTCTTCTATATGGCTTTTTCTCTGACCTACCAGTTGTTATGAGGACATTTTCTTTGCTTTAACTAGCCTCTTGGCCTCTCTAGCTCTTACCATTTTATATTGTCACATGGCTAACAGGCTTTTCATTCAATGATTTGGCTTGTTTTGTGTAAACAAATGTCACTACTTAGGTCCAAAGGATAGAGGTTTTTATTTATTTGTCAAAGTAAAAAATGTGTTTACAGTCAAGAAGTGTCTGTTCATCCTTTGTGGTTAATTTTATTTCACCATGAATTATTTTCTTCCAGTGTCAGACCATCAGAAGTCATAAATTTAGGTATAAAATATAAGGAAAAAAACATATATAAGAAAAAAGCACAAAGCTTTTACAACAGTGAAGTTACACAAAAATCACCCAGTAAGTAATCACCATTGATATATTTTATAGTGTTATTATTTTATTGATTGGTATGAATAAGACAAGTGGCTAGTCTGTATGCGGGAATGTTGGTATTCCTTAAACTTGAAAGTAGGATACTGTGATCCCCACTTAACAAAGGGGGAAGGTGAGGTTCAGAGACATTGAGTGACTTGTCCAAGGCTGCACAGCATACAAGTGGCAGAAGTGTAGGATCTAAACCAGGAAATACATGCCAGATGCCCAGTTCCTCAAATAAAGTTGGTACAGAATGTTAATTCTTTCCCTTAAGTGTTTAGGAGACGAAAATGAATAAACACTAATTTTGTTCTCAGGAAGCCCAAAGTCACACAGAATGATGCATTAGTTTAGTTATCGACTGACTGGACAAAGAAGTACAAAAAAATTAATGGAAACAAAAGAATCATTATTATACTAAGTGTATTATTTAGAAGTGTAGTGAGAATCATTCCCAATGTTCCATCTTATATGGAGAGCGTTTCACACACTATGGATCTTCTTTTCAACTTACGTCCAAGGGGAAGCTGCACTTTCATAGAGCAGATATTTTAATTTTAGAATTTATGTTGAAATTTTGCTGTCAAAAATTACATCATTATTTGTTAACATTCAATGTACATTTATAAGCCGATCTACTCCCTAGGATTTTTTTGTTAAGATTATAAGAGATATTAAATGTAAAGCACTTAGAACGATGCCTGGAATATAATAGAAACTCAATGCAATTATTATTGTTGTTGTTATTATTATTATTATTACTTTACTTTGGAGCTTGACCTTTAGAGTGAAACATATTTGAGCTTAAGTCCAAGGTCTCCTGTTTACCAGCTATGCAGATCCAGGCAAGTTATTAAAGCATCTTGGGCCTCTGCTCTATGTCCTTACCTGTCAGAAGGACATAATGATAACTTGCAAGTTGTGAAGATTTCTCCTTTGGTTTGGCATACCACATTGTTTCTCAAACATTGCTCCCTGGCCTAGCAGCATCAGCGTCATCTGGAACTTAGAAATGTAAATTTTGGGGTCCCACCCCCACCCTACTAAATAAGAAATGGAGTGGTGCATAGTAGTTTATGCTTTGACAAGCCCTCCAGGTGATTATGGAAACTGATAAGGTTCGGGAACCACTCAAATAGGGCTTATGCCATAGCAGGTGCTGAATCTGCTTATTTTTCTTAGATACTGAGCCACCACAATGACAAAATCATAGTTCCCACCTTCACAGAGCTAACAAACAGACATGGAATCACATCTTGAACTGAACTTTTATGACAAAAAGAAAATGTTTTCACTTTGTCCAAGACTTCACTTTTAAGGGCGTGATTAAAAGAGCTTTCTTTCCCATCATCTCATTGTATGCATCATGAACACAATAACACAGCCTTGGTTTACATGTTAGCAAAATGAAAAAGTACCTGTAAACTCAGACATTTTATCTCAAAATGCTTAAAAAGTAGATTTTCTGTCACAAAGCATACAATTTTTTTATAGACAAAAGAGAAACTGGAGCTTTTCCAAAACTGTAGGATCCTCATTTTCAAGGGGAAATAGCAAAAGAATACAAAATTAAAAAAATAAATGAATGGGGAGCCTTGAGTTGCTTTTGGTCCCTTTGAATGACAGGACCACAGATTTGTTGTGAACAGCTGTGTTGATAGGGTTTGCTGATGACTGCAGCTGTACCAGCTGAGGAACAGGGAGGTTAAATTTAAAAGAATTAACTTGGAAATGTGCTGGCTCCTTTTGAGGAATTAATGATATTGTGCTTTTATTTCTGTCTTGCCCTAAAACCTGCTGTTGTGAAGGCGTATTTAGGTCATTAAGCATGGGAGCCCTGAAAGAGCTTCCTGAAGTGAATAAACCGGCTTTTCTTCTAAACCCTGAGGAATACTTTAGGGAAGAGCCAGAGAAGGAGTGTCCCCAAATTCCAGAGGACCCATCACTTTCTGAGAGTAAGTCCATGGCCATTATATGCCTCTACCATCTCTCCCTATGAAACTCAACCAATTAGAAAAATAAAGTAGAAACACAGGAAAGCAACACACGTATGCCTTCTAGGCTGCAGTGCAATGAAGTGTGGCTTGACTGCTAAGATTTATAGCTCAGCTGCTGATCCAAGCTCCCAGAAAGGACAGCCAACAGCCTGGGATACATAAAAAGAATATTTTTATTTTGTCACTTTTCTCAAGTCAGAATGCCATGAAGATATATTATGAGTTGCCACGATGGGAAGCCCTCCCGTCAAGTAATCTTAATTTTCAAAACCGATACCCAAGAGACATCATAGGACCGCTTTAGAACAGAGTCTCTGACAATCTGGTTTTGTTCTTTCCCTGTAAAACACTATAAATAGAGGCTACTTAAAATGTATTGTCTTAGAGACTTCCAGCTGCCATGCTGGGCTAATACGATGAGAGGACAAGAAAGTTGAATTTAGGAAATACGAGTGAATGATCTCCTCAAGATCTGGAAGCATTATATGTAAAAGAATGCTCTATTTTTCAGACTGTTAGAGGCTTCTGAGTTTCTAAGAATTTGGAGAATAATTTCTGTACAAAAATGCTGCCCGTAAAGAGGAGTAGACAGCCGGAGCAGACGGCACAGCCTGACTCTCAGCGAGGCGCTCCGAAAGCATGTGGACACTGCAGGGAGCTCATTTAAAATAATTAATGAAAAGTACAAGTTTCAGCTTGTAATAATCAAAAGATTAGAAGTGCACTCAAACCATCTCCTGAGATCAGTGCTTTCTAAACTGTTCCTGCCCTCTGAGATGGGGATTCAGCCTCATCCTTGAGAAATACTAACCCTGTAGGAGGGAGGCATTTCTTCATGTCCACACTTGAGGAAGTTCAGTCCTCTCATCTCTGACTGGGTCCCCTATGGAAAGGGAGAACAGCTGGTCAACGTTTTATTTTTTTAAAATTCCACTCGTGAACAAGGTACAGTTGTCATTTCCATCGCCAGAGTTTCCACTCTACTTATTATCACTTCCTTTGACTTTTCTCAGAGTTTCTCTTTTCTAAATGTGTAAAAATTTATTTGCTCCCAGGAGGGTCATCTATGGCTTGTGCTCATTCCTTTTAAAAACTCGAATCCATAAACGTTAAGGCTCTAAATAACTGTTAGTGCCTCTCACAGGGCTTTGAGTCTATCATCCTATTGTTTTTCAACAGGGTGATTCATCTCGAAGAATAAATATGGGGAGTACTAATCTTGTCCTCCTGAGTCACACACAGAGGAGAGCCTGGCGAACAGACAGTTAGAAAGCTTCAGAGAGCAAGGTCAGAGGGTAAAGACAGTTGAGACACGGAACTCGCACACAGGAGGAAACCAGGATGAAGCTGGGAGTCAGAACTGAAGCAAGAGAAATGGGGTGCAGGGAGCACTCCCAAGTGGGGCAACAGCAAGTCAGAGAGCTCAGCTGTCAGGGCAGCCAGCACCTCTCCTCAGCCCTGGGAATGCCTGTTCATGTGAGGAACTTTGTCCATTCTCCTTCATCCACAGATGAATTCTCCTGATATGCAGGGAGAATGTGTGTGGGCAGGTGGGGCAGATGGCTGGATGGAAACACCTAAGATACCTAAAACACTCTAATACATTTTCAAAGAGAATTTTCCCCCTGGATTTCTTAATTTTAAAATTTCTTGTCCTTTCCATACAGTTTGGAAAAGATGTTTTTTTTCTCTATTGTTTTTAAAAAATTTTTCTTCAGCTTTTCTTCCTTTGCTTTCTCTGCAAGTGAAAATAGTTCCTTTTTTATCTAACATTTCACTAACTTGAGGGCGAGGCAGAAGCAAACTATTGAGGGCAACTGAACACACGACACAGGGCACCACAGATGAGGTTCTACAGAAGTACTGAGGAGGAAGCAGGTCAACTCTGGCTTGGGCATAGGAAGGAATTCAGAGTGGAGGCAATGTCTGAGTCAGGACTTTGAATGAGTAGAAGTTCAAAGGGTGAGGGAGGGAAAAAGAAAGTCAGTATCAAGGAAATAACGTAAGAAAAGACACATCAAGGATGAGGTAGGGCAGAAGTCCAAATGACTCCACGTTGGCTGCAATGGGTGACCAGATGGTGACCCAGTCACTGAGTTTGACGCATGACAGTAGAGTTGAGTCTGGAATGTGCTGAGTTTGGGGTCCATGTGTGTCGTTTAGGAGCAAAGTTCTGCAGGACAGAAGAAGATTGTAACATGCTCTGTGTAGTAGTATCATAAAGTATTCAACTAGCTGATACTGAAGTAATGTTTGCTTCTTTATGTACTTAACCTTTCCTAAGGTAGATGTTGAAAGTGTTCTCTGCGCTCGACCCTGTGCTGGATGCCAGAGACACAGAGCTCACACACAGGGTCTTAGCTTTCAAAAATCTTGAGGACTAGTTGGAGAAATAGACAGAGTAAAAAAAACAAATACCTAACAAATGTAATTATGTTTTACAACAAGAGCCATGACAGAGTTAGGCACCACCTAATAGAGATAAAGACCACGTGGAGATTCATAGATGGTTTTTCAGAGAAACCAGGTTGTGCCCGAATTGGATATTAAATGCTAAGTTGGTATTACTCAGGTAAGAAAAAAGTGGGATGATATTTATAGGGTGATAATGAGTAACAAAGTGTGGACTTAGCTACACATAGTTGCAAATAGCTCGTGTCTAAAAGGGGCATAATGAGAATTAAGGCTAGGCAGGTAAATAGCTGCCATATCATGGAGCACTTAGTTTACTGTGTGTGAAAGACCTTGGTATTTATTTTACTAGAACTGAGAATATATCAGTATGTTTTAATCAAGTATTCTGAATTACTCCACTTTATGTCTTCTACTAATTCTTCATTTTTTTATATCTTTGTTTTAGTCTTCTAGTGATCAAAGATTACAATATTCTTTCTTGTGCTCTTTATTTCTTCTTGTGGTAAAGGTTTCCATTTGATTTTTCTTTTCAGTCTTAAGAATTTTCTGCAGTTTTTCTTATAAGGTGGAGCTGCTGCTGAGTAGTTTCCAGTTTCCATGTGTCTTAAATATGTATTTATTTTATTTTGACTTTGGAAGGGTGTTTTCACTGGGTTTACAACTCTACATAGCAGGATTTTAAAAAATGTCAACTCTTGTAAGATATCACCCCATTGTTTCCTTGCTCCCATAGTCTTTTTAAAACTCTAGCTCTTAATATTATTATTGCTCCCTTGAACATAGTATTTTTTTCCTGGATTATTTAAAGTTTTTTTTTCTTTTTCATTCATTTTCAGGAGTTTTATCATGATGGGTATACATATATTTTTCTCAGTATTTATACTGCTTGGGGTGATAGGAATTCTCAAATGCACCTTTCTTCAATTTTCAGCCATTATCTTTTGAAATTTTGTTTCTTTTCAATTCCCACTCTCCTCTACTTCTAGGATTGCAATTACATACATTAGATTTTCAGAATATCAAAAATGTTTTTCATGTCCTCTTCTTTCCATTTTACTTCCTTTCTGTGATTCATTAAAAAAAAACTTTTATTGATTAATTTTAGACAGAGGATGGGGGTGGCAGGAGAGAGAGAGAGATCGAGATCTATTTGTTGTTCCATTTATTTATGCATTCATTGGTTGATTCTTATATGTACCCTGACTGGGGCTTGAACCTGCAACCTTAGCATATCAGGAAAATTCTCTAACCAACTGAGCTATTCAGCCAGAACGGAGTTTCATTTTGGATATTTTGTGTCTTTGGACTCAGTAATCCTGTCTTTTGCCAGTCTGCTTTTAACCCCTTTGTGATCAGTTCCCAATTTCAGAATACACACACACACACACACACACGCGCGCGCGTGCACGCATGCATTCAGTTCTATAAAGTCATCTGTACATCTTTTATATAGTTCCTAATTCTCAGTTGAAACTACTCATGTTTTCATTCGGTTCGTCTAATTGTTTTCTCTGTTTTTTAAAACATATTTATAAGAATCACTTTAAAGTCCTGGCCTGCTAATATCAATATCTACATGATCCTTGTGTCTTCTTCTAATGTCTATTTTCTCCTCTTTGTTATTGGTCACATTTTCCTCCTTCTTTGTAAGTCCTGTAATTTTTGGACAGTTTTTATTATGTGACAGAAATTGTGTATAAAAGATCTATAGATACTGAAATTAATGTCATTTTCTCCCAAATACCCTTTCCTTAGTGCGACAGAGAGCATGACAAGCCGAGCGCGTTAATCCAATTAGAAAATTGAGCTTGGTCAGTGCTGGGTTACAGCTTCAGTTATGCTTCGTTTGCTTCTGAGGTCAAACGTCTGTTTGTTTCAGACCTCTCGCTTTAGTGGGGTATGGTCTCCGAGGTGCAAGGCTGCAGGGAGCCTGGCTCTGACTCTCCAGTCCAGTCAGTCCATCGCCTCCCACTCCGCCCCAGCACTAGGGATGTGTCCTATGGGGAATGCTGGCCACAGCTAAGAAATTTCTTTAGGTTCCAATACATCACACCAACCCACACAGGCATCAAAAGCTTTTCTAATTTTACTTTCCCTTAGAATAGTCTCTCTGTCTGTGGTAAGCCTGTTTCTCAGAAATGCCCAGACATGATAAGTCCCCAGAGGCAAGAAAATATTTAGCAATCTCAACTCATTTAAGAAGGGTTCTACCAGCTTTAGATTTTTAATTTGATAATTTTTGCATCCACAGCCCTCTGGGGGCTTTAAAACTTTATTTCTGTAATTTACCAGGTTCTTTTTCTTTTTCTTTATTTCATTTCTGGTGCAAAGAGAAGAATGGCCTGCTATTACATATTAAATCCTATCCAGAAATAAAATCCTGTTGAAATATTTAAAACAGGAAAGTGACATGACCAGATTTGCATTTTAGAGAGCTTTCAGGAAACTGTAGTGGATGCAGTTCAATGAGACGAGATTGAAGGCAGCATGTTATAGTAGCGGGAACTGGTTCACAAAGAGCTGCCTGTTTTGAACCCTCATTT